CTTTCTGTTATCTCTTTGCTGTGCTATTGTTCTCTGTATATTTATATACTGTATATATTGGCTACATCTTTTTCAGTAAATATTTTATTGCACCCTTTTGACCTTTTAGTAATAAATCTTACTTTCTGAAAGTGTTGAACTGTTTCTAGCGCTCTTTAATGCAAACTACGAATTCCTGCCTCTAAAGAGTGCTACTGTGTGTGTGTTTTAAACTTCGATATATCTCTGCCTGAGGTGACAGTGGTATACCGACGATTATTCAAACATCATAGTGTTATTACTGATATTGACGAGTTTCCTCTTTCTCTGTACAAAAAGGAGGTGGTGGCAGTGTTAATTGCGTAATTAACCAGACCCAGTAACAATCGCTCCCAGGCTGCAGATACACAGATTGTGGTCCATTAGCTGGAAAATCTTTGTGCAGAGTGCAGCTGGACATGGCATTGTTACGCACGTGACAGCGCAGTTTTAGATTGGCTAGTCCTTCGGTCATGAGTTTGGTGAGAAGGGCTGGGGTCTGACGCCGCGATCGTCACACTGTACAGTAAATGGACAATACTTGTGACTATTGTCTGTCCACTCCAATTTTTATTGCAAGATAAAACCTACCTTGTCTCATTCTATTTACTTTCTATTCAACTGCTTACATACTGTCCTGATGCTACCCCTAATCCTGTATTTTGAAAATGTTGTGAATAATTAGGGGTATGAGGATGGGGGGCATTTGGGGTGGTGGCTATGAAGTGTTTTAATTCAACTTTTAAGACAATGCAGTGTGGTACTGTCAAACAATAAGCACATTATATTATTATACTGTCAATTTGTACAAAGAAAAGGGGTTTAGTTATATGTTTTCAAGCATAAACATACTATAACTTTTAGATCTGTTTTGTCTGCTACATTTACCAATCAGTTCAAGCCTATAACCTCTGTATAAACAAATCTGGTGCCACAGCCAAAGCTACCTAAAAAGATATTTTAGAAACTGAAATTATTCAGATTGGCATGTTGCTGCTTTATTGAAGAAAAGCTGAATGTAAAAGTTAAAAGATCAATTAAACATCTAAAATATAAGATGCTAGAAGAAGGTGTCACCGACACTGACCTTGAAAACCACATACAGCGTTAAAGTATCTCACAAGCATGTAATTTAAGGGACTGGTATTTTCCTTTGTTTCCCATGAATTCTCGATAAAAAGAGTGCGATATCCCTGCCATATGGTGTTTTTTTTTAAATTAATTTATATCTAGCAAATGCCCCCTATGGCAGTACACCCATTGTTTAACTATATATGTGTGTGTGTGTGTGTGTGTGTGTATGTGTATATACAGTCATGGCCGAAATTGTTGGCACCCTTGATATTTTTCCTGAAAATCAAGTATTTCACACAAAAAAAGGTATTGCATTAACACATGTTTTGCTATACACATGTTTATTCCCTTTGTATGTATTGGAACAAATATAAAACAGAGGCAGAAAAGCAAATATGACATAATGTCACACAAAACCCCAAAAATGGGCTGGACAAAAGTATTGGCACCCTTAACTTAATATTTGGTTGCACACCCTTTGGAAAACATAACTGAAATCAGTCGCTTCCTATAACCATCAATAAGCTTCTGACACCTCTCACCCGGAATTTTGGACCACTCTTCCTTTGCAAACAGCTCCAGGTCTCTCTTATTGGAAGGACACCTTTTCCCAACAGCAATTTTAAGATCTCTCCACAGGTGTTCAATGGGATTTAGATCTGGGCTCATTGCTGGCCACTTCAGAACTCTCCAGCGCTTCTTTGCCATCCATTTCTGAGTGCTTTTTGACGTATGTTTGGGGTCATTGTCCTGCTGGAAGACCCAGGATCTTGGACGCAAACCCAGCTTTCTGACACTGGGCCCTACAGTGCGACCCAAAATCCTTTGGTAATCCTCAGATTTCATGATGCCTTGCACACAGTCAAGGCACCCAGTGCCAGAGGCAGCAAAACAACCCCAAAACATCATTGAACCTCCACCATATTTTACCGTAGGTACTGTGTTTTGTTCTTTGTAGGCCTCATTCCGTTTTCGGTAAACAGTAGAATGATGTGCTTTACCGAAAAGCTCTATCTTGGTCTCATCTGTCCACAAGACGTTTTCCCAGAAGGCTTTTGGCTTACTCAAGTACATTTTGGCAAACTGTAGTCTTGCTTTTTTATGTCTCTGTGTCAGCAGTGGGGTCCTCCTGGGTCTCCTGCCATAGCGTTTCATTTCATTTAAATGTCGACGGATAGTTCGCGCTGACACTGATGCTCCCTGAGCCTGCAGGACAGCTTGAATGTCTTTGGAACATGTTTGGGGCTGCTTATCCACCATCCGGACTATTCTGCGTTGCAATCTTTCATCAATTTTCCTCATCCGTCCCGACCAGGGAGATTAGCTACAGTGCCATGGGTTGCAAACTTCTTGATAATGTTGCGCACTGTGGACAAAGGCAAATCTAGTTCTCTGGAGATGGACTTGTAACCTTGAGATTGTTGATATTTTGCCACAATTTTGGTTCTCAGGTCCTCAGACAGTTCTCGTCTCCTCTTTCTGTTGTCCATGCTTAGTGTGGCACAGACAGACACACAATGCAAAGGTTAAGTGAACGTCTCTCCTTTTTATCTGCTTTCAGGTGTGATTTCTATATTGCCCACACCTGTTACTTGCCCCAGGTGAGTTTACAGGAGCATCACATGCTTGTAACATTCTTATTTATCCGCAGTTGTGAAAGGGTGCCAATACTTTTGTCCAGCCCATTTTTGGAGGTTTGTGTGACATTATGTCGAATTTGCTTTCTTTCCTCCCTTTTTTTGTTTTGTCCCAATACACACAAAGGGAATAAACATGTGTATAGCAAAACATGTGTTAATGCAATACGTTTCGTGAGAAATACATGATTTCCTGGAGAAATATCAAGGGTGCCAACAATTTCGGCCATGACTGTATATATATATATATATATATATATATATATATATATATATATATATATAGTACAGGAGATGACTATATATATATATATATATATATATATATATATATATACATACATATAAAATATATATACATATATATATTTTTTTTTTATTTTTTTTTTTTTTTAGCCATGAAAATGGCCAGAAATTTAGTGTCAAGACGTGCCCTTGATAAGCTTAAATACAGTACAATGTCAAGTTCAGGACTTCACAGCTTTAAAGCAGGATTAACCACCATTAATTGAACCCTGGCATATTTGCTCAACCCTAGTCAAGAAGTGCGTTGCAACTTCTCATGATCAATTCCAGGGAAAAAACTGATTTTTCAGGCTACTGCTAAGCCATATCTATTTTTGCTAGATATTTCCTTTAACACAGAATATAATTGTGATGATAGGTCTGCTTTAAACCTATCTGAAAAGGCACCCAGATCCTTTTCCATCGTTGATTCGCCATGTTGTATCGCCTAAAGGTTTATTGAAGCCGTAATATATATTTGATTCACAAATGTTTTTCTTAGTTATATTATGATTATAAATAATTAATTATAAATGTAGCAGGTCATATGGCCATTTCCGATATAAATAATGCTTAGCAGACTTATACTATGCATGTGATAAAAACATACATGTGAGTATATGTAAATATGTATCTGTTTCACAAACATACCTAACATGAAGTACACCCCTATTCTTTATGAAGCAGGAAATGCAACATTCAAAAAACATTCACTGCAAGTGAATCTTCCTGGTGCATGTCTTGTAAATTACAGTGATGCACCTGCAGTGAATGTTTGATGAATGTCACAGTGATCGCTACATAACTTTACCCCTAATCAATGTGTTTTTTTTCAATGGCCAGGTCCATAGACTTTGGATTGGATACCCCTTTAACTTGCATAATTTAAAACATTTAGTTCAGGTACAGTGCTATAATCTAATATATAAATGTGTTCCAGCACAACTCTCACCCTCAGTAATAAACAAGTTTCCACCACAAATACAGAGCATGTATGATACAATAATGTGAAACAATATCAAATAACACCACACCTAACGTGAACAAATTTCAAGTAAGTGAAGTCCATAAAATTAGTGAATAAAAAGATCCAGTTAGATATATTTTTTTCCAATCACCACAATTTATCTCTCATGATCTCTGTGAATTAATTAATTATATAGATGAAGCGCACCAGAAGATATTGACCCCTTACACAGCGAAAAAAAAAACACTTTCACCAGCCAGGTATTTTGAAGCAGGCAAGATGTTCACTTCATCAGAAGGATTCACATTCATATATAGGCTTTGTTATTTACTCCTCAGTTTAGAAAAATATTAGGAAAACATTTCCATAGTGTAGTATACTGTAAATAATTGAAGAAAGAAAAAAATCAAATTATTACACTCACTAAGCTAACTAATACCAGTAATGTATCGAAATAGAGTCTTTGCTCAATTTTCTACCTAAAGACTCACCATAAATGAATCACTCCAACATACGAGTCACAATTGTATTCTCCCACCACACTTTGGATATGACAAAATCTGTCTCTAGGGTTATCCTTTTTCTTCCAATCCAGTGGCCAAACAGTATCATAGACCATTTGCTCAAAACAGAGCTCATTTATGAATGTGAATCCTTCTGATGAAGAACTAGATGTCAACATCTTGCCTAGAGAAAGTGTTCCTTGACTCACTTCAGGAGTCAATATCTTCTTCCATCTATATAATTAATTTGCAGAGATCACAGAGGAGAAATCATGATGATTGGAATTAAATATATCTTATTTCAATCCCAATCTTTAATAGTCTCTGATAGCTGTCTTAATAAGGATTTACTGTATTTTTCGCTCCATAAGATGCACTTTTTTCCCCCAAGAAAATGGGGGAAAATGTCTGTGCGTCTTATGGAGCGAATATTGAGGGGCCGGCCCGGTATTCCCACCGCCACCGTGTTAGAATACCGGGCCAGCTGCTCGGATCTACTGTGCAGAAGAACCTGCACCTCAGTCTTACCTGTTCCTCAGTCCAGCGGTGTCCTGCTTTCACTGGCCGTTTTTCTCACCGAAGATGGCATCTTCAGTGTGGGCACCTGGCTGTGAGGGGATTGTGGCTTCACAGCCGGTTGCCCACTGTGCATGCGCAAGAAGCGCTGTGCTTTGTGAATGGCTACTTGTAGTCTTCTGGGACCTGTCACGTGTCCCACAAGACTACAGGGAGGACAACTCCACGGAAGTGGGAGCGGGTACCTGTCAAATCTGGGTATCGCCCCCCCCACTCCCCAAAGGTCTGCAGTCTCTGGTCATCTCCTGTTCTATATACACAGTCTCTGGTCATCTCCTGTACTATGTCTGCAGTCTTTGGTCATCTCTTATACTATGTCTGCAGTCTCTGGTCATTTCTTATACTATGTACGTAGTCTCTGGTCATCTCCTGTACTATGTCCGCAGTCTCTGATCATCATCTCCTCTACTATGTCCGCAGTCTCTGGTCATCTCCTGTACTATGTCTGCAGTCTCTGGTTATCTCCCGTACTGTGTCTGCAGTCTCTGGTCATCTCCTGTACTGTGTCCGCAGTCTCTGGTCATCTCCCGTACTATGTCCGCAGTCTCTGGTCATCTCCCGTACTATGTCTGCAGTCTCTGGTCATTTCCTGTACTATGTCTGCAGTCTTTGGTCATTTCTTTACTATGTCTGCAGTCTCTGGTCATCTCCTGTAGTATGTCCGCAGTCTTTGGTCATCTCCTGTTCTATGTCCACAGTCTCTGGTCATCTCCTGTATAAATGTCTTCAGTCTCTGGTCATCTCCTGTACTATGTCTGCAGTCTCTGGTCATTTCCTGTACTATGTCTGCAGTCTCTGGTCATGTCCTGTACTATGTCTGCAGTCCACTGGTTCAGAATATTTTTTTTCTTGTTTCCCTCCTCTAAAATCTAGGTGCGTCTTATGGTCAGGTGCGTCTTATGGAGCAAAAAATACGGTACCTTGTATGGTGAGGGGAGCCACAAATCCCAGTGGATCATATAGACTGTTCACCACTGACAGAACACCACGTTTGGTAAATGGTTTGTCTGCAGAGCTAACTTGAAAGCCAAAGGTAACTTTTAATAAGTTCTACCGTAAGCCCAGACTTCTCTGAACAGGAGGCATGTTCATTCCCAAATTTAAATCTTTAAATCCTGTGGCATTATCGCAATGCTGAAAGGCTTTTATAACAGTAGCCCTGTTTGAGACAATCTCATGGAGTCTGAGCTAGGCCTCAGAAAGCACAACTTGAGTCCTTTATAGAAGGTCTGTGGCTTCTTCATATGTGGGTAAAGATTTGAGTCCGTCATCCACGTAGAGGTCTCTCTAAATGAACTGTTGAGCACCTGCACTATACTCCTTTTCGTCATCAAGAGCATTCCATGATATACCATATGGTGCAGCTTTCAGGCGAGAGACATTTCCGAATATATGTACTTTCATGTGGTATTCATTCTTCTTGTTATTGCCACGGTGCCACATTATACATTACATATAGCGCCAAAGGGTTTGCTCAGCGCTGTACAATAGAGGGGAGACAATACATGAAATATATACAGCAGCTACGAACAGCACACGAGGTGGTAAGAGGGCCCTACTCTTTCGAGCTTGTTTAGTGGTACAGGAGGAAGTGGCTGTTGGCCACGGAGAGCAGCCACAGGCTTCCCTAGAGGTGGGGTTTTCTCTTACTATAAAGCAATGGAACATTTGTTTATTGTCAGCAGTTTATGGCAACTGTGACATGGAGGTAGTATTTGGATTTTCTGATTTTACACAGAAACTATGGTCTTTCTTACTATAAAGCAATGGAACATTTGTTTATTGTCAGCAGTTATGAACTATGTGAATGAACAAATAAAATACCATAAATAAATAAAATAAAATAAAATAACACCAGCACAGAACATCAAACCAAAAAAAATAAAAATATGTCCAAAATACCACCGTGTCCAAAAACAATTCAAAATATAAAATCAGAAAATCCAAATTTAACCAAAATTAAAATTAAAAGCTTAAACTTTTTCTTCTTCTTTCATCACCAAAACCTTCTTAATACCCGCAAATCCTGATGTTCATACACCTCAAAAAAAAAAAAAAAAAAACTCGACATAGTGTCATACCTTAAATGATATAAAACACACGTGCCACTCACTGTGCAGCATGCAAAATATTAAATAAATGTGTATACTCCAAACGAGTGTCTCAATACATACAAATAAGTGAATGTCAATAAGAGTGAAAAACACATTCACATAGAATATGAAATGCAATGTTTGAAAACCACTCCACAAATAACACTGCCAGTGTATAACACCACACTCTATATATATATAAAAACAGTGATAGCCAAAAGGCCCAGACCACCACTCTCCAACTCTTATAAGGATGGGTAATTACCCTATAGCAGAAACAGCAGGGCAATATACCACTCTGGGTTACTTTTTCTCCTCACATCGATTTTCTCCAAAGACTAGGGCCACTTCCTCCACTTTCCTCCAGAAAACCAGTCACAGTATAAAAGATATTCTTCTTTATTGGTAACTCACATAAAAAATTCCAGTGGTAACAGCTCCTCCTCACAAGAAGTACACACATGGACAGGTTCAGGGAAACATTAACCGCATGTTCCCACTTCCAAGATGGCCGCGATCACACTTCCGGTCAACGTCGATGCGTCTGACGTCACGTGTCCTGACGCGTTTCGTCATTTCCTTTGACTTTTTCAGAAGGAAAAAGTCAAAGGAAGTGACGAAACGCGTCAGGACACGTGACGTCAGACGCATCGACGTTGACCGGAAGTGCGATCGCGGCCATCTTGGAAGTGGGAACATGCGGTTAATGTTTCCCTGAACCTGTCCATGTGTGTACTTCTTGTGAGGAGGAGCTGTTACCACTGGAATTTTTTATGTGAGTTACCAATAAAGAAGAATATCTTTTATACTGTGACTGGTTTTCTGGAGGAAAGTGGAGGAAGTGGCCCTAGTCTTTGGAGAAAATCGATGTGAGGAGAAAGTAACCCAGAGTGGTATATTGCCCTGCTGTTTCTGCTATAGGGTAATTACCCATCCTTATAAGAGTTGGAGAGTGGTGGTCTGGGCCTTTTGGCTATCACTATTTTTATATATATATAGAGTGTGGTGTTATACACTGGCAGTGTTATTTGTGGAGTGGTTTTCACACATTGCATTTCATATTCTATGTGAATGTGTTTTTCACTCTTATTGACATTCACTTATTTGTATGTGTTGAGACACTCGTTTAGAGTATACACATTTATTTAATATTTTGCATGCTGCACAGTGAGTGGCACGTGTGTTTTATATCATTTAAGGTATGACACTATGTCGAGTTTTTTTTCCTTTTTTTGAGGTGTATGAACATCAGGATTTGCGGGTATTAAGAAGGTTTTGGTGATGAAAGAAGAAGAAAAAGTTTAAGCTTTTAATTTTAATTTTGGTTAAATTTGGATTTTCTGATTTTATATTTTGAATTGTTTTTGGACACGGTGGGATTTTGGACGTATTTTTATTTTTTTGGTTTGATGTTCTGTGCTGGTGTTATTTTATTTTATTTTATTTATTTATGGTATTTTATTTGTTCATAGAAAAGTCACATATATATTGTCTAGCCGGCCTTCAAGGGTGAAGGTAGATCACTTTTCTGGGATATTATAGGGTTAAGTGTTGTTATATAGAATTATAAGTTATGGCAACTGGCTCTCTTCTGAACCTCCTAAGTACCCCTACAAGATTGTTGGTTAAGGTACTGTAGGACCAGTGAGAACATCATTCATGGATATGCCTTGATGCCTGGCACTGGAATAAAGCACTACCCTGGTTTGTTTTGGTTTACGTGGATGATACACTTCGAAGAAAGGCAGATTATAGCACTCATCTTGTTCTAGAAGAGGTGGATCTGGCTCAGCATGATCAATGTCAAAGATCCTTTTCATAAAGGCAATGAAATGGTCCTTCATTTCAGGCCTGTTCTTTAGTGTTTGCTCAAGTGAGTTGAATCTGGATAAATCTTCTTCACGGTTGTTTGGAAGTCTGGCTCTTGTAGCACAAAGAGGTAATAGTGCATCCCAGCTGTTACATTTATGTCTGAAGAATTAATTGTCCATTATTGGGATGAACTCCCTATCTTCAACTGACAAGGCTATTCTGTTGTCATCACATGTAGTATAGAACACTGTGCTACCTAAGTTGTCATCACAGGGGATGCAAGTAACATCAGATACCTGAATGATGTCAAGAGGCTTCTCCTTTACTTCATAATGATGAGAGCATTGTGTGAAGTGAGATGCATGCCCATTTTGCTTTCTATTCAAGCATACATCGCCCACTATTACCCAGCCTAAATCAAGTCTTTGTGCATATGGAAAGTCATCAGATCCACTGAATTGCTGGCATACTTTATGTATTTTGAGAATGTCTCTTCCCAGCAAGATTAAGATTTCAGCATCCGCATCCATTGGAGGAATCTAAGTAACCAGGTGCCTTAAGTGAAGATGGTGATTCGCAGCTCCTGGAGTAGGGATTTCTTCTCTGTTGTCTGGTATTTGGTCACACTCAACTAACGTTGGCAAGGGTACGCCCTTGTTTTCCTTGATATGGGAGGCCATGAACCCATTGGCTCTTCTGCCGGAGGTTTCTACAAGACCAGAACAGGTCTTGAGAGTACATGGTGTTGCATGTCCCTTTATGCCAAAGATCTCAAAGAATCTAGGTTAAACCAGGGATCTGTTGCTCCGCTTATCTATTGTGGCATACATCCTGGTAGCTTTCTCAGATTGATGCTTAGGGATATATTTTAGCTTAGTCCTTCTCCACAGACTTCAGTACATGAAGAAGAAACATTTGTTGTGGCTGGAATATGGCTTTGTTGCTCCCCACCATGATTTGGAGCAGGGCTAGATGTAGATGGCTGTTGTGGATTGTCTGGAGCAGAATGCATAGCTGTAACGTCTGTCACTACTGCATTCTGTACACATAATGACAACTTTACCATTTTTAGCAAAATGGTTACAGGAAGCACAACACTTATAGCATATTCCAAGCTTCTGGAGAATCTCCCTGCATTCTTGTACAATCTTTGCCCTAAGCCCACAACATTTCTTAAGAGAATGAGGTTATTTATGAATAGGGCACTGATGATCAGGAACTTTATCTCTATCACCCGAATCACTCTAGTGAGCAGGAGAGGATACGGGAGGTGAGATGTCTGTCTTTTTACAGAATACTGCTCTATTTAAGTCTCTATGTTTAGCTGCTTTGCTCTCATACCTTCTTGATGAAGTAGGCAAGTTAGATTCACTGAAGCTGGGGTAATTTCCCATCCAGGCTTGTTCACTGATGAACCTGCAAAACTATGAGAATAGAGAAAAAATACATTATAGTCTCTTTGATATTTTGAGCCCTATTGTGCCCATTTCTCTTGCAGGTTGTAAGGCAGTTTAGACATCACTGGATTCATGCAATGAGTGGTGTCCAGATAGCTTAGTCTAGGTAGACAAGGGTCTGTTTTTGCCAACTCTAGCTCCATGAGGAGGTCACTTAGGAAGCTTTCAATAATACTTGTTACCTATTTTTGGAAAGTTTTGCAGTCTCTTGAATAGAGCGCTCTCTAGGGCTTCAGAGCTACCATAGGTTTGCTCAAGTCTTGCCCATGCAGCAGCAAGACCTGCATCTGGATAGTCAACATGTACTGCTCTCAGTCTTTTAACAAGATCTGCAGATTCTGGCCCCAGCCACTTTATGAACAAGTCAAGTTTCTCCTTGGTAGTAAGGTTGAGATCAACAATAGCAGCCTTGAAGGTTGATCTCCAAGCCCTATAGTTCTCTTGACA